TTTTTTTTTTTTTTTTTTTTTTTTTTTTTTGATGAATCGTTGCATGCTTCCACAGAGCCAGTGTGGAAGGTCCAAAGAGTCACTTGCAGCTCTGGAGCCTCAGGTTGCAGACACCTGAGCAAGAGGAACCAAAAGCCTCTCCTCTGTTCTGTCCTGCAGGAGGAGGTCTAGCAGAGATCACACTGACCTTCGACAACAGCAGTGTGATGTATGGCTTCTGCAGCCTGAAGGAGCCCACTGCTGCTCTGCCACGATACATCCTCATCAACTGGGTGAGTCGTTGTTTGAGGGGCAGACAGGAGGGGAGGGGAAGTGAGGCAGACTGTCCTTCGGTGTGTTGAATGAAGGATGTCCAGGTCAGAAGGATTTGCAGAGCATTTAGTAGCTTATCTTTCAGGGATTGATCTAAACATAGTTCAGTGCACAGCTGCTGCAGATCTGATGGATCGATTCATCAAGGTGTTGTCATGGTTTCACAGTAATCTAGATTTAAATATCGTTACTTGATGTTAAATACATAGAAAACAAAAAGTTAAGAGCGTCCAAACAAGAATCAATAAAACACACTTTGTTTAGATTTTTCTTGGAAATCACTATATTTAAATGTCTGGAGATGGAAACAGACAGTTCGATTGTGACAGATAAAAAAACCACTACACTACTTTCTTGAGTTTGTCAGTTTTATCTTTTGACCTCGTCACTCCAGTTCAAGAATTAATCTCTAAACTGAACAAGATCGAGGCAGCTCTTTTACAAGCCTGAAAACTTTAATATTAGTGAATATATCACTAATTACTTCACAGGTTATTGATTCTGATTGTGCTAATCACTGGTGCAGATAAATATAGCTTAATGAGTTTTAAGTTGCACTGCATTGATGAAGAGAAGTTCTACAATTATACACCATTTATTATACTAGATAAATTTTCATCCTTTGGATTTGTTTGTAAATTTATTGAATAAAGTGAAAAAATAAACATCCAGTAAGGATACTGTTCTATCCAGAGTAGAGAAAATGTAACACTAGTGAAAGTGTGTCTTTTATTGATGTTGGTGTTTTAATTAGCCAAATAACAACTTTTTGATAATTAGGCCAAATTGAGATATGACCTAAAACAACCTCAAACGTAAGACCTCAAATGTAAGACAATACAAATGAAAGCGCCTAAAAAAACCTATATGTTATTGTAAGACAATAACATATAGGTGACAAAAGAAAGAAAACACGAATAATTTGTGAAGTTGAGCTCATTCATTCTCAGTGAAAGTCTCAGAAAAGCCTGTTAAGAGCATTTGAACGCAGACGGACTCCTGAGAGCTTCAAGATGAATGTTTAACTTTGTGGACCTGACAGCAGCGGGGGCTCACTGAGCAAGTACATAATGACAGAGTGCAGAATGATGAAGAAAGCAAGCAAGCTTATGTTTAATTACTGCCTGTTTTTTTTTTTTTTGGTTTGTTCCCAGAACCCAATATGCAGAGGTGAGCTGAAAGAAATTTCACCCAGAGATCCTTTCATTAATGTAGCAAATAGTGATTGAAAGAGTCAGACAGGAAGACATTTGGTGGTTAATTGAGCCTGGGATTGCAGTCATTGCTGTTTTCATCATCAAACAACAGAAACAGCCACAAGAGCAACAGACGGAGTTCAAATGAACCAAGCCAGTCTGAACTGGGCCAGAAGGGGGAATTAAAGTTCATAAATTAAACTTTCCAGCTGTATTTTTGTCTGATCCTGGCACAAAAACATGAAATTTAGATAAATTGTTATGAATGTAAATGAGATGAGCCTCTTTTTTTCCATGTAATTGGTGCTCACTGCGTTTTCTTTGTCCTGGTATGAATGAGTTGTGATTAGTAAAGTACATTAAGCCTATTATAATAAAAACTGTTTCAGTAACTGAGCCGCACACAGATGAACAAACATAGCAAGCGAGAGCAAAGCAAGGCTCAAGCTGCTATCGAATGCGGTCACTAAAAAGGAAAATTAATGAGTAATTCTGAAAAAAACAACAACATTCAAATTAAAATATTCAGTGCAGCTGGGGTTTAACTTTTTTTTATCTTGGTTCGTTGGCCAGTGTCATCTTTATTAAGCAAAACTGCAGTTTCTTTAAATAATTGCAGCTATAAAAATCCTTGGAAACTGTCACCTTTGACCTCTGGTATATTTTTTGAAGTACAAGATATGCTGATGCAGTGTCAGTCACTCGTGAAATTACAATTTTCTGTACTTAGGTTGAAGGCAAACGTAATTCCGTTGTTTCTCAAAGACTCTCGTCCAAAAGGTTTCTTTAGTTCAGCTAAGTCAAGAATTTGTGTCCAAGAAAAAAGAGAAGTCCAGTTTTACTGAAGCTCTTTGGAAAGTACAAGATAATAAATTACAGATCATATTTTAGGTCCAGAGTCAGATTTGGTGTAATAAAGTTTCCCAGTTGGGTTTTCCTTTTGGGCACACAGAGAAAACTTTATAGTCGTCCTACATCCATGCATTCCTCAGCAAAATAGCTGATATACATCAACTTTTATTCTCCAAGTGGTCTTTTATTTCCCATTTCATCTGCTGGATAGTCAGCCTGAACTTAAAACTTTCAATTATCAGCCACCAGTGTTAATATTAGTCTGAGTTTCTGGGAAAGTCTGGCCAGTGTATTTGAGAACAGCTCCCATCTGTTTTCTTCCTCTTTCTGACACTCATTTTAAAGAATTTGATGTCTAAATTTGAGTTCATGCCACATAACTTGATTGTTAACAAGTTTTGCTAGCAAGCAAACAGGTGTACCAAATAAAGTGGGCAAACAAAATGGAGACTTTGTTTTTAACACTTTCTTTAAGATTGCCAATGAATGGAAGCACTTGCTGCTGTTTGATGTTTTATTTTATTATAATTATTTCATTTGTCCCACAGATGTTTGTGATTGAGAAAAGACACATTTTGCTAAACACAAGTTTCTAACATTGTTTAATCTCCATGTGTACATCTTCATTTCGCCTCCCAGCTGTGGGACTCTTTCTTTTTTTTATGCTCCCAAACATGCAGAAAACTTTACTTTAGTTCACTATATGTGGTGCTGAATTTGTATTTTAAAACTAGAAGTGAAGCCTTTCTGCAGCCTGTTATGTGACCTACATAAAACACTGAAAACATAAAATGTTTTTGACATTTGTTGACACCAGAAAATTCTGCTACACACAGTTCAAATTTTACCATGGACACCCAGTATCAGCAGGGATTAGGTGCAATTCTTTAAGAAATTTTGTAGGTTGATGTCTTTATTATATCAACCTTTTTTTTAAGGTTTTGTTGGCTCTAGTGGCCTTTATTTGAAAGTAGTTTGACAGCATGATGATTAAGGCCTTAATACATGGGTTGTGCTTTGCCCCTGTGCCACCACAGCAACCCATTATATCAGCCTTTTATCAAAATCTTCTTATAATCTAAAATATATTCATAAATATGTTGATAAATTGAGATCCAAAATGTGTCTTGTACAGTTTGATATCTCTAGACAACTTCTGTCCTTAGTTTTGTTTGATGAATTGACAACCTGTTTGTTTTGGAGAGGAACCAGTATCTGCACTAAGGTCAATAAGTATCTACTCCAAGTACCAAAAGCAAGGATTGGGGTGTCACTCAATCCTTGCTTTTGGTCTCATTGTTTAAAGCTAATCAATGTTTTTTTCTCTCTCTCTCTATGGCAGGTGGGAGAAGATGTTCCAGATGCCAGGAAGTGTGCTTGTGCCAGCCACGTTGCCACCATTGCAGATTTCTTCCAGGTGAGAATCGCAAACTTACATGAGCAACATAACCCATAAGAATATATAAAGTCATATTCATCTTCCACTAGTGTAACCGCTTTAAACATGCAGCCTGAGTGGAAAAGTACAACTTTATAGACAAGTATCTACTTCAGGACATTTCTTACCATTTTTAAAGAACCAGCATTTTCTTTCTAGGATTTTAAATAAAGGAAAACAGATCTAAAAACATATTATCAAAACTTTTAGTGTCATTGTTTGTGATAATTCATTGATAAAATATTGCAGGAAGAAATTTTTAAATAGTTAAAAAGCTGCAACATTAATTGGATTCTCATCATTTTTAGCCGTAGTTCAACTATCCACCTTATTCCTGGGAAGCTTACTGGGGAAACAATTATGGGTCTTGCTTCCGGCGCCCACCGGAAGTAACTGTATTCCACTGTAATTTGTAGGGTTTTTTGCTAATCTACATTCATGATAGAAGTTACATCTCTCTCTTTGGTTGTAATACAATATTTAGTGAAACTTGTTCAAGGATACACCGTCTGCTATCAGAGAGCTGCTCAGTATAGAATATCGTAATTGTGAGTGTATTCACAGGGAGTGACAGGAACACGACGTGATTTAGGAGAGTTGCTAGCAGCTCGTTTCTCTGAAGAACTGACAATAATAAAGACGAGAAAAGCAGAGAAGCTGGTCAGAGTTCTGAACTGCCGATCTGCGCCGACAGTGTAAAACACCACTAGATGAAGAACAGATGTGACGTATGTCAAAGAGCTCCACCACCAGAGATTTGCTATGAATGCTCACCTT